GCAGCATATTTCGTAATTGAAACGTAGTTTTGGATAAATGTTCTTAGATTGGACTAAATGTAAACATATTCCTAATAGAAAGAAAAGGGTAGCTACAAGTTAAAAATCAGATTGGCTCACAAAGAATTTAAGAAATAAAATTAAAGAAAAGTATCATAAATTTAAGAAATTTAAATTGACTTGTATGACAGGAGACTTGGAAGATTATAGAAAATCAAGAAAGTTGGTGAAACAGGAAATTAGGACATCAAAAAGGATGTATGAGAAAAAGTAAAAAATAACTCTAAGGATTTCTTTAAATACATTAAGGGGAAACAAGATGTTAGGATAGGGATAGGACCCTTGAGGGATGATAAGGGAATGCTAGTATCTGATGATTATGAGATGGCTGGATTATTAAAGTTTACTTTTTCTTCGGTTTTTACTAATGAAGATTTAAGCAGAATTCCACATCTTGATCAGTTGATAAATGGAAACGAGATCAAACAAGATGTCTGCATTAATTCTGATCTGGTTAAGAAAAAATTGGGAAGTTTAAAAATGATAAGACTCCTGGGCCAGATAATATTTCCCCAAGGGTTTTGAAGAAAGTTAAAGATTGGATATGTGAGCCACTTGCTACTATTTTTTGTTAGTCCTTGAATAGAGGATTGGAAGTTATCTAATTTAACTCCTCTTTTCAAGGGCGGTGATAAAAATTGTCCCAGTGATTACAGACCCATTAGCCTTACGTCAGTTGTGGGAAAAAGTTTGAAAAGTCTGTTTAAAGATGCTTTGCAAAGTCATTTAACAAAGTTTAGAATTTTATTGGATAGTCAACATGGTTTCACTAAGGGAAAATCTTGCCTTACAAATCTTTTCAAATTCTTGGATAAGGTTACTGCTTATGTAGATGAGGGTAATGGTGTATATTTGGTGTATCTGGATTTTCAAAAAGCATTTGAAAGGATGCCACATTAAAGGCTTGTAAAACAATTAGCTCTATAGGTGTGGGGGATAAGTTAGCCAATTGTATAGAAGAGGGTTGTTCAAATGGAGTTCAGTCAAACTGGATTAATGTCACATGTGGGGTACCTCAGGGCTCAGTCTTAAGACCTTTGGTCTTTTTGATTTACATCAATGACATAGATGAACGGATAGTAAATAAATTACTTAAATTTGCAAATGATATTAAGATATTGGGCGTTGCTAGCTGTGAAGAGGGTGCTGCTGATTTTCGAAAGGATTTTGACCATTTAATGAGTTCAGCAAACAAATGGCAGATGAGTTT